CACATTTTTATATGTGGGTCGCCACCACTGCATGGGTGACAAGTGGTATGGGTCTGCACCCAGGATCTGAACCCAAAGTGCAGTGCAGCGAACTTCACTACACCACAAGCCGGCCCCTTTTTTTGCATATTTTTTATATCAACTTTCTTACCCACCTTTTGACAAATGGATTATTTCGGTTGATTTAACTTGATAAACTAAAGGGTAAAACTTCTAATTTTTCTCTTTCTTTTCCATAAAATTTTCTGGTGTATTAGAAAAGGAGAAAACATGAAGGCAAAAACATATGGATGGGAAACTGAGCTCCTTTTTACCTGTTGGTCCCATTACTCTTAAGAATTTCATGGGGTTGGCCCTGTGGCCAAGTGGTTAAGTTCGCGCGCTCCACTGCAGGCAGCCCAGTGTTTTGTTGGTTTGAATGCTGGGCGCGGACATGGCGCTGCTCATTGGACCACGCTGAGGCGGTGTCCCACATGCCACAACTAGAAGGACCCACAACGAAGAATATACAACTATGTATTGGGGGGCTTTGGGGAGAAAAAGGAAAAAAATAAAATCTTAAATAAAAAAAAAAAAGAATTTCAATGACGGATAGGGTTTTCTCTCTTTAACTCTTCATTTCCTTTATTTGGATATTTCCTTTTTTTTACCAGGGTTGTCAGTAATTCAGAATGAAATGTAATACTGTTAAAATAATTTTGTTAGCATAAGTAATTTTTTTAAGCTTTCCCAGCCATTTATATACATATTTATGTTTCAAATCCTTTTTAGTTGCAGGCAAAGAATATATATAAATTTAAAAATAAAAAGGGAATGATTTTTCAAATATTTTCTCACCAAAGTATGCTGCAATCACTTCAGGTTAGCAAGGAAAGCAACAGGTCCATTTCTGACAGCATATGATAATGCCATCTGTGTGTTAACCAACCACGTTAGTCTGTAGGCCAGAGGGTTGACTGGGAAGGAGGTTTATTGGCTTATGTTGTAGACCAAACAAAAAGCTATGTGGAGTAATGTCTATCTTATCACATATCTAACCATTAAATGCCATATAATTTGCAGTGTATTGAAGTGTATCTGACTTAATCTATAGAGAAGATCTATTAATTAATTCACTCATTCAACTTCTACTGAAATGCACTAGGAAACAGTATTCTGGTATGAATTATAGAAAGGAAATGGTCTATTTGGTGGAGAAAATTATTGTGACCTGTCCCAATCAGAATCAAACAAATTCCACTATTGTTTGATGTGTGCACACACTTTATCTATGTTTCTTTTCATCATAGGTTAATTCTTATTTTCCATAAAAAAAATGCATGCCCTATGACCCAGCAATTTCTCTCCTACGTCTGTATACCCAACAGAAATGTATGTATATGTGGATCAAAATACATATTAAGAGCAGCATTATTTGTAATTACCAAAAACATATTACTAAAGATAAAAGGTGGAGGTCAATGTTTATAGATTTAATAACCAAGGAGCAAAGCCATTATTTCAGGTAAAATCCAGGTGTGCTTTCTCTTAGGCCTGAGGCAGAGGCCTTCTAGGAATAAGGGGTAGAAAAAAAGTTTTATGCCCATGAAGCGGTGGGGAATGTGGTCCAAACTGAGCAGGAGGAGGCGGAGGTCCTTCTGGTGGTGAGCTTGTGATCGGGGTACCTGAGAAGGGTTGGGCTTTGTACCACAGTCAACCAAGCTATCCACTGTGGTGGAAGGGGATGAATTTTTTGAGATACTGAATATGGTATTTTGGGGATACATCAGGCTTCCAGTCTGAGCCTATCTCTTAAGACCATTAACAGTCATAGAGTACCTGAAATTTCATAAGACATCCTTCATCACCAAGGGGCACTTACCCCTCCATCCCTAGGCATGAACCTAAAAGATCCCTTCATTGAGGAAGACATTAGATATTGTATTGCTGTTTTTATAAAATCTCTGATTACAATAGGAAACAAAGCACTTGACATCTTAGAAATAAAATTGATGTATTAGTTGGAAAGAGACCATAAAATGTCTTCTTGGAGTTTCTTTAACCACACCTGGTTTTCAGAGTATTACCAACATTTTTTTTAACTTGTTCCTCTATTAATTTCTCTCTGATAAATGTGGCTTGCTTCATGTCTCCAGTAACAGCTCTTTTGTATCACAACAAGGATCCAATTACCATGGGCATTCTTATACAGAACAAAATGTTGCCTTATAAGATAATTTCATATTCTCTAGTTTACCTCTATTTTATTGAATTCACTGATTTTAATATTTCCCTGACTGCTCCTAATCTTTTTTTTTTTTCTGCTCAAATTCTTTTAGTAAGGTATTCTGTCTGATCAATGAATTCAATTTTCAGCTTGAAGCTCTGTAGTACATTTTCTAGGGGTCTTGCACTGACTACAATAAACAAGTATCCTGTTCTACTTTCCTTAAGTTCTCTTCCAATCAGGCATAATTGACATCTCATCACTAGGCTAACGTTGAAATGGTTTCTGTCCTTGAACTAATGTTAATATAGCTTGGGCCTTTGTTATATCGATTCCTGCTGTGATAAAGTGCTAAATATGGCCACAAATTCCTCCCATGATCCTATGCAATGTGACTTTGCTCTTCCTCCCATCAAGAGGTTGTCTGTTTCCCCACTCTTTCACTCTGGGCTGATCTTGTGACTCGCTTTGATCAACCAAATGTGGGAGAAGTGATGTTATGTGACTTCCAAAACTAGGTCTTAAGAGACACTGCAGCTTCTACTTTCATCTTCTTATGATCCTGCTTTGAGACTGTCATGTAATGAAGCCAGTCCAGCCTACTAGAGAATGGAAGGCCACATGTACAAGAACTAAGGCCCCCAATGGACAGCCAGTGCCAACTGCCAGACATGTGAGTGAGGCCACCTTGACCTTCCAGCCCAACCACTTTCCAGGTGAATGCAGTGGCAAGAGTAAGCCCATGCAAAACTGGCAGTTAAACTGTCAGCCAACCCAGAGAATCACGAAAAAAGTAATACATCACTGCTACGTTAAGCCTCTAAGTTACAGGGTTGTTTATTACATAGCAGTGAGAACTGACAGAACCACCTTCTCTTTCACTTTCTCATTTTGCTGATCCCCTGGCTCTCCAAGGTCTAATTCAGAAAATACGATTTCTTTCTTCTTACTTTCTTCCTCAGTATCAGAATTGATCTCCACAAAACAAGTATTCAAAACTTTAGCATCATATTTATAATCAAGAGATTCTTTCCTCTCTTTTGGAGACCTCTCAGGTACTTTCAGTTTCTCCTGAGCTTTACATTTTGCTCATTCTAACTTCCTCTTCCCGTTCTGACAGAGCCCTTACTTAACTGAGGAGTTTTGCTTCATTAAGAACTATCTTTTCTCTAAAAGGTATACTGAATTCTTCATTATTTTACTATGAACTTATAAAACTTTCCCAAAGATTTCTTTACTTTTTCTTCTTAGTTTACACCACCGCAAGTATTATTTTCACTGGCTTTAGATTACTCTCTGAATATTTCCTGATTTTAGCCAGCCCCTTTATCAGAGAGATGCATTCCTAGTTTGTGGGCTGTTCTCTTCAAGAGAGTTCTTAGTTTGTGCAGCATTTGTTGATGTTCTGACACCTTTTCAGGAATTTGGTTTTTTTTCTTTCAATTGAAATGTATCCTTCTCAGCAATGGATGTTTAGTTACTTGGTATGTTCTGCTCCTTTTTGGAAAAGTATCCTCTCCAGACTAAAGGGCAACTGCTAGCCAGGAGGGGTAAGGACAACGTCCCAGAGCACTCCTTATAAATTCTCTGGGTCACTGTCTAGATTGCTCCAGCAGCACAGACCCTGACCTAGCTTTCACAGAGCTCCCGTCTAAATTGTTCGAGGAAGTGAAGGCCCTGTTTCTAAGCTGTTTTTTTGGAGCAGTGGTTCTCAAAGTTTGCTACAGAAATCAACAGGGTATGGGACCAGCCCGTAGCCCAGTAGTTAAGTCTGTGCACTCTACTTCGGTGGCCCAGGGTTTCGCCAGTTTGGCTCCTGGATGTGGACCTAGCACGGCTCATCAAGCCACGCTGAGGCCACATCCCACATAGCACAACTAGAAGGACCTACAACTAGAATATACAACTGTGTCCTGGGGGGTTTGGGGAGAAAAAGAAGAAGAAAAAAAGATTGGCAACTGATGTTAGCTCAGGGCCAATCTTAAAAAAAAAAGAAATCGACAGGGTTAAAACTATTTTCATAATAACACTAAGACTTTATTTGCCTTTTCTGCCCTCATTCACTCCCATTCACAATGGAGTTTTCCAAGGCTACAATTAGGAGTGATTTCTCCAGTGCTCTGAACCTAATGGAATGTGTGCATCTATATTATTGTGTTTTAAATTTTTGTCTTGTCAAATAAAAATGGCAAGTAATAGGATATATTGGAATATATGAGGAAGCCATTTTGGTGTAAACCTAATTCAGCCTGACCTTGTCTTTCCAAAAGGGCCTGACCGAGGCGTAGAGCATGCATTGTATATCTGCTTTAGAGATTCCCTAAGGCAAGAGCAAAAGGCCCTTGAGATAAAGGTGCAACTTCCCTTCCCCTCCCAATGATGGCGTCTCCTTAAGGATTAAGCACCTTTCCTTAGGCTAGAAACTGATTGCTGCGCTCACCTGTGGCTGCCCAGCTCGAAACAGTAGACTTGCCTCCTGCTACGCCCACCAAGATAGCAGACCCACTACCTGCTGTGTCCATTAAGGGCTGTGCCCACAGGGCAATCTTGTGACTATTGTGGGAGGGACATTTCAATCATATGTAAAGCACCCTCTTTGGGGGTATATAACCACTCTGTACACCTCATTTCTTTGGTGCCCTTTCTTCCTTTGGGAAGAAAGGCCCTGGGCCATGGTCCTCAGATTTCAGCTCAGAATAAACTCACCCAAATTTTCATTTACAGATTGGTTATGGGTTATTTTCGTCGACAGTTTTAAAATCAAATATGATAAATATCGATGGATATACCCACAAAGACATTTTCAAGTGTTATGGGGGCCCCGAAACCAAAAAGTATGAGAACATATGGTAAGAAAGACTAAATTTTCCTTAACTCTCAATTCTTGGGATGCTCCTTTGACCGTAAGTCATCCCCTGAGGCGCCCCTTCCTTCCTTGGGACGTTGGCCCAGAAGAGAAGGCCAGAACTGCTGCCGAGGGGCCTCCCCGGAGTGGGCTACCAACGGAGGTCACAGCCGTGCTGGTCAAGGGAGCCTGACGGGATCGAAGAGACCCGCAGGGTCAAAGGCGAAGGGGCGGAGAGGGGCGGGGTCAGGAGCAGGAGGAGGAAGGGCGGCCTGGGCGCGGCCTCCTCTCTGCCTCCGGGTGTGGCTGGCTCCGCCGTGGGTCGGTTCCCGCCTGGGGTCTGAGTGCCGGGGGCGGTTCCTACCCTCCACCCCTCGGCACCTCCTCTGCCCTGCCGCTGCCTGCATCCCCTTCCGTGGTCCCAAGGTTCCAACGACGCTCCTGCTTCCCTCCATCCCTTCCTCTGGAGCACGCAGGCTGCTGGGGTCAGTGTGCCCGTCCCTGTCTCAGGGACAATAGAGATAGCCTTATGGAGGGCGAGGGGGTGTAGAGAGGAGGTGGAGGTATTGTTAGTAAAATAGAAGGGGAAAGATTGCCTTTCTACAGGAGGCATTTTTGCGATAACTCCAAATATGCGATCCTAGGGGACTGGCCCAATGGCCCAGCGGTTAGGCTCGTACTTTGGCTTTGGCGCCTCGGGTTGGCTGGTTCGGATCCGGGTGCGGACATGGCACCGCTTGTCAAGCCATGATGTGGCAGGCGTCCCACATATAAAGTAGGGGAAGATGGGCACAGATGTTAGCTCAGGGCCAGTCTTCCTCAACAAAAAAGAGAAAGATTGGCGGCAGATGTTAGCTCAGGGCTAATCTTCCTCAAAAAAAAATTATATAAAAAAAATATGTGACCCTAAGAAAACTCAAGTTCTGCGCAATTGTGGACTTTTGGGGCAAATAGGATTGAGGGAGACCACTTAAAACCCACTCAGAGCACCAACAGTCCCGCTGCTTGCATAGTTAAATTTTCTCTGGAGTGTGCTGCGGGCACCCTTAGATCCAGCCCTTAGATCCTGCCGGGTCCTGCTTCTTCCTCAGACAAGTTGGATTCTTAAGGGCATTAGAGACTAATTTCATCAAAAAGTTAAATCTTATCTAGGGGATAGCATTCTTCATCAAATTTTACTAACACCTGGAGAAATGTCTTCACAATTTTTCATCTGCACATACAGCTTCACAAAATAGTTTAACGTTGTGGGAAAGTGTAGTGGGATTTTTGCAACCACTAACCCAGCCACTTTTTTCATCCGAAAAGAGGATTTCTGTAGGATTTTCAGCTTTTTCTTAAGGTCTTTCTACATTATAAGGTTTTTTTTCCTTTAATTGTTCTCAAACATTAACGTGCAGAGGAAAATTCCACTTGAACTCACAATATTTCCCGTTATACTGGCCTGTTTATTAATGGTCTATGAGCTAATTCCTGCTTAAGAAACACACCACAGTCATGACAGAAGAGACTTATACCTCGACTTAGTTCCATTTTCCTGCACCCTTCCTCATGTTTGCCAGATCTTTTGCAAAAGATTCTCCATTCACCACTTGTTTGGCAGAAGTTAAGCTGCTGCTAGTTTTTCAAGGTCACATGTGAACTAGATCTTGAGTTCTCCTGTGTTTAGAAATGTTTTTTCCAAAGACTGTCCCTGTTGAGACTAGAAGTCAGCCTGCTTCCCCACTCCACCCCCTTGAGCTGACATCATGCTGTCTGGTGAAGCTGCTTAACATGGTCAGACTTAGAGAGGATTTCATGTTAGTGAGTCTCTTAGCTCCTAGGTCCACCCCGAGTCAAGTGAACAAGGATTAGCTGCAGACTCCATGTAGAAGGCAGAAAATCTTGTATTTCCCCTGGTTCTAGCTTCCTGTTATTTAACAACAGCAAACAAACAACAAAATAAAATAACCATGAGACTAAAGATGCAAACTCTGGGTAATCCTCACTGCTCATTAACTCAGTAAATGGATATTCATTGAGTACCTGCCTCACACCTTGAATTGTCAAGGTGCTGGTGGTAGTTATATACAAGGTAAAAATGGCTGTGCCTGCACAAAGTGCCTCGGTGATGCCACTGAAAAAGCAGGAGCCCCTACCACCGACACAACCATTTCTGTCGACCTAATTCCATTAGCTATGCTTATGATAAGAGGATCCATTATCTAGCAGCTGTATTGTTTAGTTCTCTTGATCCCTTGTTATTTTCATATTGGGTAATCCTTTATCAGCATTGTTTTTTCTATAATGTCTCTTGATAAATGCCATATCTATGTTGGATGCTATTTCAGCTTCATTTTTCTTTTTTAGACCTAGACTTAGCATTTAAAGTACTGAAGGGACATTTTGTAAAACCACTGGGCTGTATTCTGCAAAAACACTAGACTAAGAAAGATGGAGAAGTGTTCCAAATCAAAGGAAGATGAAAAGATATGACAACTAAATGTAATATGGTCCTGGGCTGATAGATAGATAAATAAATAAATGCTATAGTGGACATTAGGAAAACTAAAGAAATTGGAATGTAGACTGTAGAGTTGATAAAATTGGAATACACACTATAAAGTATTTGATTAATGTTAAATTTCTTAAATTTGTAATTGTACTGTAGTTATTTAAGAGGATATTCTTTTTCTTAGGAAGTACACACTAAAGTTTTCAGGGGAGAGGAGACATGATGTATGTAACCCAGCCTCAAAGAGTTCAAAAGTGGTTAAAGTCCATATGCTCTGCTTCAGTGGCCCGGGTTTGTGCATTCGGATCGAGGTCCCGCTATCCTCATCAGCCATGCTGTGAAGGCATCCCACATACAAAGTAGAGGAAGATTGGCACAGATGTTAGCTCAGTGACAATCTTCCTCAAGCCAAAAAAAAAAAGAGAGGAAGATTGGCAATGGATGTTAGCTCAGGGCAAATCTTCACACACACACACAAAAAATATAAACAATAAATGCGTGTGTGTATGTGGAGAGAGAGACAGAAAGATAAAGCAAATACCATTGTCCTCCCTTATTTGCAGGGGGACATTCCAAGACCCGCAGTAGATGCCTGAAATCTTGGATAGTACTGAATGCTATATATACTATATTTTTTCCTATACATATATACCTATGATAAGCTTTAATTTATAACCTAGGCATAGTAAGAGATGGACAACTATACTAATAATCAAATAGAACAATTATAGCAATATACTATAATAAAAGTTATCATATTTCTTTGCAACCTCAGCATACGATTTTTTTCTTTCCTTATTAAGTTGAGAACTTTCACCTTTTCACTTAATGGAAGCACTTGATTGCTTCTCTTTGGCATATCCGAATTGCCAGGGTCACTATTCTTGCACTTTGGGGCCATTATTAAGTAAAATCAAGATTAGTTGAGCACAGCCACTTAGTAGTCATCCCAGTTGTCAGGTAGACTGTCAGTATCACAGTGCTTAACAGGCATGTAGTGTATACAGTGCGGAGACACTAGACAAAGGGATGATTCACATCCCAGGGACAGCATGAGATTTCATCACACTACTCAGAACAGTGGCGCACAATTTAAAACTTATGAATTGTTTATTTCTAGAATTTTCCATTTAATATTTTCAGACTGCGGTTGATTGCAGGTAACTGAAACTGCAGAAAACGAAACCACAAATAAGGGAGGGACTACTGCATGGCAAAATGTCAAAAATGGTAAATCCAAGTAAAGGGTGTATAGGAGTTCTTTGTTCTAATCTTGCAACTTTTCTGTAAGTTTAAAATGAATTCAAAATAAAAATAGGAAAAATATAACTAATAAGAAATACATATCAGTTCACATTCCAAACATCTTTTCTAGAAGGCAATTTGGTTATATGTATCCAAATCCTTAAAAATGTGCATTGCCTTGAAGGGAGCAATTCTACATTAAGCATTTTTAGCAAGGAATCAATTGAAGGTAAGAGTCAGTGATATGTATGAGACCTTATTCTACCATTATTTTGATAGCTAAATTTTTTTTTTTTTTTTGAGGAAGATTAGCCTTGAGCTAACTGCTGCCAATCCTCCTCTTTTTGCTGAGGAAGGCTGCCCCTTAGCTAACATCAGTGCCCATCTTCCTCTACTTTATATGTGGGACACCTACCACAGCATGGCTTTTGCCAAGCTGTGCCATGTCCACACCCGGGATCTGACCCGGCGAACCCCGGGCTGCTGAGAAGCTGAACATGCAAACTTAACTGCTGTGCCACCGGGCCGGCCCCTGATAGCTAAAATTTTGAAACATTAAATGTTCATAGCGTTGTTCTCACTAAATAAATTATAGGATTCAATGCCATTAAAAAGCTTGCTGTATAGGGGCCGGCCTGGTGGTGCAGCGGATAAGTGCGTAGCGCACGTTCTGCTTCGGCGGCCCGGGGTTCTCTTGTTCAGATCCCGGGTGTGGACATGGCACCGCTTGGCAAGCCATGCTGTGGTAGGTGTCCCACATATAAAGTAGAGGAAGATGGGCACGGATGTTAGCCCAGGGCCAGGCTTCCTCAGTGAAAAGAGGAGGATTGGCAGCAGTTAGCTCAGGGTTAATCTTCCTAAAAAAAAAAAAAAAAAGCTTGCTGTAGTGTATAACATTTATTGTCATAGAAAACACTGGCGAATATATTACTATGTTAAAGAAAAATAACAAAACAGTATTTATAATATGTTTCTCCCTTTATTTAAAATGTATACACATTTACAAAGAACAAAATCTTAGAAATACATATATCCAAATTTTAGCAATGGTTTCTTTTATATGTTGGCATGACAGAGATTTATATTTCATTTTAAATTTGTACTTTTCTTTATATTTCAAAATCTCTGAATTCCACACATATTATTTTGGTAATTAGAAAAAAATTAAACCCCCATGATGCTGTGTAATATGGGAGTTTGTAGTTTCATGCTTCACACAATTAAAGATGTAGGGCTGGGTTTAGGAAAAAAATATTCACATTATTGGTCATTTTTATGTATTAATGGTGTTCAGCAAATTTTCATCAAGTTTATTTGTATAAAAAGACATGATGAGTTCAGGTTCAGGGTAAAAAGGAGTAAGCACACTCTGTCTATTCCAGGGATCCAACTGAAAAACTCGACAGAATGCATGGAGTAGTCTGAGGACTACGAAAAGTAAGTAATATCAGGTGAATCGGGAAGACCAGAAATCAAAGAACCAGAGAAGTGGAGCCGAGTTTACCATTTCCCCCCTCTTTTGTATCCTCCAGCCTGGTCTCAATACAGCGCCAAACCAGGAAGGACACATCTGTGCGTACAAAGATAGCTCCAGAAGTTCTGTGGTTCAGCCTGGTGAAGAGAGAAAGGGCTTTCCTGTCAGTGACTAGTGGTGGTGGCAACAGGTACCTAACACTCTGAGAGAGGGTAAGCTTGCTCTCCAGTGGGATGATTTGGTCCCAAGAGAATGCAGCAAACCACCGTTGCTTTTCTCTCTCTCGCTGTCTTCCTGGCAATTGATTCTAGGATGGGTCAGGGAAAGTGTGCAGCAGAGTAAGGTAAATAAAGCCCCAGCTTTCTGGTAAGAGGACCACAAAGGGAACCTAGGCAACTGAAAAGTGGTGAAGAGATCACAGAAGAGAAAGATTTCGGAAAAGTGACCATAAAAATTTGTTTCTGAACTCCTGAGCTTACCCTAAAGCTGCATATGCATGGATCTGATCCTAAATAGCATACCAAAATCTTTGACAACTAAAGTAACAGTCCTCTGCCTATGTTCCACACTAGCCACATGCAGGACAGATCCAAATAGCACTGCAAAGACTTTGAGAATGGAACTGACATAGAAACCACAACACACAGAAGGCCAGATGGAACTTGTGGTCTGAACCAAACTGGGTTAATTGCCTGCTAAAACAGAAATATCAACATACTCCATAAGATAGAAACAAGACACAGAGTCGCATAACATTATATTCAAAATGTCTAGGATACAATTTAAAATTCCTTGACAAATGAAGAACCATGAAAATCTTAGCTTACATGGGAAAAGACAATGAATTGATACCAAAACGGATTATACAGATGTTGGAATTATCTGACAAAGAAGCTAAAGCAGCTATTACTAAAAGCTCCAACAAGTAAGGGGAAACATTATTGAAAAGAATGGAAAGATAGAAACTCTTAGCAAAAAAATAGCAGATATAAAAAGACGCAAAATAGAAACTTGGGGAGGGGAAGATGGGGAAAGGGTAAGGGAAGTGGTGGGATGTTGGTCAAAGGGTACAAACTTGCAGGTAAAAGATGAATAAGTTCTGGGGATCTAATACACAGCATTGTGATTATAGTTAACAATACAATATTATATACTTGAATGTTGCTAATAGACTAGATCTTAAATGTTCTCACCACAAAAAAGAAATGTGACATGATAGACGTGTTAGCTAATGCTATTGTGGTAATCATATTGCAGTATATAAGTGTATCGAGTCAACATGTTGTACATTTAAACTTACACAATGTTATATGTCAATTATATCTCAATTAAGAAAGAAAGAAAGAAAAAAGTGAAGAGGACACTTATGGTAGGTTCTCTTGGAGCAGTCATTTCCCAGTCACCCTTGTAACCAGAGAGCAATAGTTCGAACATTCAAATAAAAAGAATTGTAGTCGGGACCAGCCTGGTGGAGGCTAATCTTCCAAAAAAAAAAAAAAAGAAAGAATTGTAGTTTATCAAAAGGGTGAAGATTAAGGCTCCTAATAATGTATAATGAAATTTGAAGTAAAACTGAAACATTTGTCCCCAAAGTTTAAATCACCCTTATGAGATGCATGTATTAAAACATCTTGGAAGATCTAAACTTTGAGAAGAAACATATCTAGATAGGCATCTCAGAAGAGCTGAAAATTTAAAGAACATAGAGGGAGCTGGTGGTAGATTCTTTACTGGATTTGATAATTCACTTCAGCACGTGTCCATACCTTACGATAGCTAAAACCAGCTGTGGCTGGCAAACAACTGCCCATCTGCCCAACTGGATGGTGGAGATGGGTCATGAGAACAAGGGAGAAAGAGAAATTGGCATTTCAAGCCTAGTTATTAATATAAAAGAAAACAAACAGAAGTATACCAGAAAACAGTACAATTTTTTAAATAAATTAGGATAAAAATTTAAAAAAAAAGAAATTTTAGAACTGAAAATACAACCACTAAAATAAACACCCTAAGGAAGAATGTAAATGACAGAAGAAAGAGTTAATGAACTTGAGGATAGATCAATAGAAATTATCCAAATTGAACAACACAGAAAAAAAGATGCCCTCCCCACCAAAAATGAACAGCACCTCATGGATCTGTAAACAATACCAAAAGGGCTAACATTCATGTCACCAGAGTTTCAGAAGGAGAGAAGAAAAAGTGCTTTACCAAAAATATATATATTTGAAAAACAATGGCTAAAAATTTACCACATTTGGCAAAAGACAATAACTTATAGATTCAAGAAGGTCAGCAAACTCTAAACAGGAAAACACAAATGAACTTGAATTAAAATACATTACAATCAAATTGCTGAAAACTAAAGACAAAGAAAATCTTGAAAACAGCCAGAGAATAACAATGCATTGCACATACGTAAAAAAAAAAAGATTCAAATGACTGTGGAGGCAGAAGGAAGTATACAATTTTTAAAGTGCCAAAAAACTGGCTGGCCCCATGGCATAGTGGTTAGGTTTGGTGTGTTCCACTTCGGTGGCCTGAGATCACAGGTTCAGATGCTGGGCACAGACCTCCACCACTTGTCAGCCATGCTGTGGCAGCAACCCACATACAAAATAGAGGAAAATTGGCATAGATGTTAGCTCAGGGTGAATCTTCCTCAGGAATCAAAATTTACAAAGTGCCAAAGAAAGAGATGTCAACTCAGAATTCTATACCCAGAGAAAACATCCTTCAGGAATAGAGATGAAAAAAAGGCATGCTCAGATAACATGAAACTCAGAAAATATTGTTGCAAAAAACCTGCTCAAAAAAATTGCTAAAGTATGGGGCCGGCCCCATGGTGCAGCAGTTAAGTTCACATGTTCTGTTTCAACGGCCCGGGGTTCACCAGTTCAGATCCTGGGTGTGGACATGGCACCAGTTGTCGAGCCATGCTGTGGCAGGCATCCCACATATAAAGTGGAGGAAGATAGGCACAGATGTTAGCTCAGGGCCAGTCTTCCTCAGCAAAAAAAAGAGGAGGATTGGCAGCAGATGTTAGCTCAGGGCTAATCTTCCTCAAAAAATAAAATTGCTAAAGGAAGTTCAGACATAAAGGAAATAACATCAGATAGAAACTAGGAGCATCAGAAAGGAAGGAAGAATAACATAAGGTGTAAATACTTGGGTAAATAGAATAGATTATTCTTTTCCTCTTGATTTCTTTAAAATATGTTTCATGGTTGAAAGCAAAAATTATAATATTGTCTTCTTGAGTTTTCAATGTATGTAGATAGAATATATAAAATAACTATAACATAAAGGAGGAAAGGTAAAGGGACCTAAAAGCTGGTCCATTTGTAATGATAAAATATTGCTCTAAGCAAACTGTGGAAAGTTAAATATGTACATCATGATCTCTGGAGCAACTGCTACACAAAACTGTACAAAAAGACACAGCTAGAATGCAATCAACAAATTAAAACAGAATACCAAAAACTGTTCTCTTTTCTCAAAAGATAGTAGGAAAGGGATAAGAGAGGAGAAAATAAACAGAGGGGCTGGCCCCGTGGCCGAATGGTTAGGTTTGCGCACTCCACTTTGGCAGCCCAGGGTTTCGCCAGTTCAGATCCTGGGCACGGACATGGCACTGCTCATCAAGCCATGCTGAGGCGGCATCCCACATGCCACAACTAGAAGGACCCACAACTAAAAATACACAACTATGTACCGGGGGGCTTTGGGAGAAAAAGTAAAAATTAAAAAAATAAATTTAAAGAGTGGGAAAAAATGTAAACACTAATAAAAAAGGAAGCTGTAGTAGCTATATTAATGTCAAAAATAGACTTCAGAGCAAAGAAAATTACCAAGGATTAAGTGGGTTTATTAGTTATCTATTGCTGTGTAACAAATTATCCCAAAAATTAGTGGCTTAAAACAACACACATTTATTATCTCACAGTTTCTGTGAGTCAGGAGTCTCAGCATGGCTTAGCTAAGTTCTGTGCTTCAGGATCTCTCACTAGGCTGCAATCAAAGGTCAGCTGGGGCTGTGTTCTCACTTGAAGGCTTAACTGAGGAAGGATCTGCTTCCCAGCTCACTCCTGTCATTGTGGGCAGGATTCAGTTGTTCACAGGCTGTTAAGTTGAAAGCCTTAGGTCCTTGGTGGCTGTTTGCTAGAAGCCATCTTCAATGCCTTGCCATATGGGCCTCTCCATAGGGTTGCCCGCAATATGACATCATCAGAGTAAGTACATAAGAAGAACAAGAGAGACAGTGCAAGTAAAAAAAAAAGTCACAATATTTTATAAACCTAATCTTGGAAGTGATAGCCCATCATTTTTGCCATATTCTATTCATTAGAAGCAAATTGCCATGTCCAGCCTACATTTAAAGGGAGGGGATTACATAAGGGTGAGAATAATAGGAGGAGGGAATCATTAGGAGACATTTCAGAAGCTGCCTACCACAGAGGAACATTACATAATGATAAAAGGCTCGATTCATCATGAAGACACAATAACCCTAAGTGTGGATGCACCTAACACCAGAGCTTCAAAATATATAAAGTAAAAACTGACAGAACTGAAAGAATAAATAGAAAAACCCACAATTATAGTTGGAGACTTCAACACTCCTCTCTTATTAATTGATAGAACAAGTAGACAGAAATTCAGGAAGGATATTGAAGACGTGAACAATACTATTAACCAATTGGATCTAATTGACGTTTATAGAATATCCCACCCAACAACAGCAGAGTACACATTCTTTTCAAGTATACATGAAACATTCATCAAGATAGAAATATCCTTGGTGATAAAACAAATTATAATAAATTTAAAGGAACTGAAATCATACAAAGTATGTTTTCTGACCATAATGGAATTAAACTAGAATCAGTACCAGAAAATCTCTAAACACTTGGATATTAAACAACATACTTCTAAATAATTCATGGATCAAAGAGGAAATTTCAAATCAGAAAAGATTTTAATTAGAATGAAAATGAAATTTTAATGATATTGGAAAATATTTTAAACTGAGAGAAAATGAAAACACATTACAAAATTTGTAGGATGCAGCAAAAGCAATGTTTAGGGGAGATTTTATAGCATTAAGTGCCTATATTAGAAAAGAAGAAAGCTTTCATATCAATAATCTAAGGCTTAAGAAACTTTAGGAAACTAGAAAAAGAACAAAATAAACACAAAGCAATCAGAAGAAAATAAATAATAAGAGCAGAAATAAAATTGAAAACAGAAAAACAAGACAGAAAATTAATGAAACCAAAAGGTGGTTCTTTTTTTTTTTTTTTTTTTTTGAGGAAGATTAGCCCTGAGCTAACATCTGCTGCCAGTCCCCCTCTTTTTACTGAGGAAGACTGGCCCTGAGCTAACATCTATGCCCATCTTCCTCTACTTTATATGTGCAATGCCTGCCACAACATGGCTTGACAAGCGGTGCGTAGGTCCACACCCAGAATCTGAACCGGTGAACCCCAGGCTGCTGAAGCAGAATGTGCGAACTTAACTGCTGCATCTCTGGGCTGGCCCCCAAAAGGTGGTTCTTTGAAAAGACAAAAAACATTGATAAACCTCTAGCAAGACTGAAAAAGAAAAGAAAAGGGAGACTACATGAATTATCAAAGAAAGGAAAGGGGCTTATCACTACATAGTGGAGGTTTGCACACTATTTCCAGCATTTCAAAAGTGTAATCGGCAGTTTGGAGTAGATGAAAGAGCATGAGCTTTGGAGTTGACAGACATGGTTACAAATCCTGGTTCTTTTACTAACCAGCTGTGATATAAAGGCAATTACTTCACCTTTGAGGTCTCAGTTTTCTCATGTGTAAAACGAGGGTTGTAATATTTTAACTCAAAGACCAAAAGGTGAGGTTTAAATGAGATTAAAGTAGGTGAAGAGCCTGGCACATAGAATGTGCTCAACAAATGATACTTTTCGACTCACCCTCTCCTATCAGGAACGACATTGACCAATAATAAGGATAAACAATGAGAATATGTTTCTTTGTTTTTATTACCAATTATATAAATTCATTATAAGATAGTTTCTCTACTTAAAGGCTTCCAGTCCCACCTTACCATGCTGATCCAAAAGCTCTACTTTGCATATTAATATATTTATATCTATGTAGCATCTATCTATCTTTCTATATATATCTAACAAGATTAAAACCACATAGGAGGGCTGGCCCAGTGGCGTAGTGGTTGAGTTCACGCACTCTGCTTTGGTGGCCTGGGGTTCACTGGTTCGGATCCTGGGCATGGACCTACACACTGCTCCTCAAGCCATGCTGAGGTGGCGTCCCACATAGAAGAACTAGAAGGACCCACATCTAGAATATACAACTACATACTGGAGCTTTGGGGAGGAAAAAAAAGAGGAAGATTGGCAACAGATATTAGCTCAGGGTCAATCTTCCTCACCAAAAACACAAATAGGACGTCAAATTTAACGCTGCTTTTGATTGTTTTGTTTGATAATTAAAATTTTCAAACCTAGTGTCCATGAGTGAAGCCCTAGTGGAAACCATAGGATTAATGTGTCCAGTAATATGTAATTTTGCAAAGCCCACACTAGATGGCAGATTGTAGATAGGATTTTCTGGATCACAAATTAATTAGGGTTTTTCTACAATCCTGGAGCCTAGCCAGCTGATACAGAAGGTGGAACCTTCCTCTTGATTTCCTCTTTGTGGGGATAGTTAAGATATTTTGGTAGTTGAGGTATTTGGGAACCGTGTTGCAGGTAGTCAAATTAGAAGCAGCAAGTACCTATGAGGGTTTTGGGGGAAAAAGGGAATGAACAAATACCAGTCACTGAGACCCAAACAGCCAGATCCTGCAATATTTTTTACTTTCTTAAAAATAAAGGATAAGGGCCAGCAAGTGGCATAGCAGTTAAGTTCACGTGCTCTGCATCAGTGGCCTAGGGTTCACCGGTTTGGATCCTGGGCTCAGACCTACACAGCACTCATCAAGCCAAGCTGTGGCAGGCGTCCCACATAGAAGAACTAAAAGGACTTACAACTAGGATATACAACTGTGTACTGGGGCTTTGGGGAGAAAAAAAAAAAAAACTACATGCTACATTTCATCACTACAATTTGGGCGAGAGGAGTACATGAAAGGTAGATATTACTCAGGAATCTTTCTGAATCATTTTGATGACTTCAACAGACTTTTTAATACAATAGTCTTCTACTTTATCTCTTCATTTTTTCCTTTCCTCTCTACTTTTTTTTAAATCATGTTTTAAGCAAGTCTTTAACAAGAGCATACTTTGTACAAAGAGCTGTGTAAATGAGGGGTGAGGGAATTGGATGTAGGGGGGTGGGGAGTGAGTCATGCATTCTGAA